GGCGGTCACAATCCTCAGCCGCAAGCCATTGCAGGATTACGAGATGTGGTTCTGACCCTCCCTGCCCCCAGAACCCCCGCCCCCGGCCTGGCGGCTGGATGCTGAGCCTCTCGTGGGGCGTGGGGCTGGGGTGAGGTTTCCTGGAGGCCACACAGGCTCAGCTGTCTCCGCAAGGCCTCTTTTCCTGTTTGCTGCCATGTTCAGCAAGGCCACGTCCATCCCCCCAACACCCTGTCGAAGAGGACCCAGTTCAGCTCCGAGTAGCCCCAGGCCCACCCAGGAAGGAAGGAATCAGGGTCGGTGTGAGCCAGCGGGTCTGAAGCCTTCATGGTAAATATTTTATGATGCTTCCTTTTCTATCTAGAAATGAAATTCAGTTCTTATAAGCTTCACATATAATTTTAGGGAAAAAATATCTAAGGCCCCAAAATATATAAGCCCCAAACTGTGGTATAACAGAAAAATAAAAATAATTTATAGCAAAATGTTGTGGATTTCAAGTCCGTGAAGGCTCAGGTGTGCGGATGCCAGATGCAAAACGACCTTCAGGTTTCCCAGAGGCCCCTGGGTTAGTCCAGCTCCCACTGAGAACCTGGGCCCTTAGCCAGCAGGCCGGGCATGGTCCACGTCCCCTGCCCTGTTGACAAGGGTGCAGGCCCCCCAGTGTCAGCCGATGACACCTCGGCAGAGACCCTCTGGTGGTGAGGGGGAACCCTGGGGAGGCCCTTTCTTTCCAGACAAGGTTGGCACTCACTGTCTCCCCTTCGCTGATCTCCCTCCCTGGCAGGTGGATGTAATGCCTGGAGCTACAGCAGCTATTTCATTACTATGAGGCAATGAGCATGGAAAGGCCAAGAGAATCACAAAAATGCCAGGCCTGACTCAAGCTCCTGTAGCACCTCCCGAACCTCTGCCTCCAGAGCACATATCATATGGAAAACTCCGTGTGTTGATGGCGTCATGGTCACGGATCCTGTACTTGCAGGCACACTCCTTTCTCTCTGAGCCTTCCCCAGCGTGTAGAGCCTGTTGGACACAGGAGCACTGGCCACTGGCCTCTCCCAGCAGCACCACATGCCCTCGGGCTGTGGATAGGACCCCAGCTGACACTGCAGAGAGCTCAGTGTTGTCAGTCATGAATACTTACAGTCTGCGTCAAGATCCTTGGATTCCAGGTTCCCATCAGCGGTGGGAAGATCTCCATGGCACAATCTCTGAAATCTGCGAGTACGTCACCTAGAAGGCCATATCTGAGCAAATGTGATTAGAGTCAGGATGTGGAGGTGGTGCGGCTTTCCTGGATTACCCAGGTAGAGTGTAAACGCAGACTAGTCCTCACAAGAGAGCTGGGGAAGCCTCAATATAGAGGTGGCCACGTGAGGACGAGGCACGGAGAACGGGCTCGTTTGGGCACCCAGGGCATTCCAGTGTTCATGCCTGTCCTGGGACTCCACTCCCTTGCTGGTGAGGGGTCCAGGCATTGCCAGGAGGAGCCCAGCAGGGCATCTGGGAGGCTTCCCCCTTCTTCGATGCCTTCGCCCGTCCAAGACACACCTGGCCCCTGCTGTGTGCCAGGCCCTGAGTCTGATAGTAACAGGACGGACTTTGATGCTGTTCCTCTCCCTCCTGGGATGGAGTCACTGTAGCTGCTTGACAAATGTCACCCAGGTTGAGTGTTTTTTGTTTTTTTTTTTTTTTTTTTTGAGGCGGAGTCTTGCTCTGTCGCCCAGGCTGGAGTGCAGTGGCTCTATCTCGGCTCACTGCAAGCTCCGCCTCCCGGGTTCATGCCATTCTCCTGCCTCAGCCTCCCGAGTAGCTGGGACTACAGGCGCCCGCCACTGCGCCCGGCTAATTTTTTTGTATTTTTAGTAGAGATGGGGTTTCACCGTGTTAGCCAGGATGGTCTCGATCTCCTGACCTCGTGATCCGCCCGTCTCGGCCTCCCAAAGTGCTGGGATTACAGGCTTGAGCCACCGCGCCCGGCCCAGGTTGAGTGTTTTTAAAACCCTGTATCTATTCTATGAAGGATAGAATATTAAAACATATATCAAAACCTTTATTTTTCTGTCAGCATCAGATGTGCTTCCATTTGCCTGACTGCATCTTTCAGGTCTTGCTGAAATAAAATAGAATTTCAACTCCTGATTTTTATAGCAGGGTCTATCTTACCCAGGTTCTAATTTACCCAGGTTCCAAGTTTTATAGCAGGCTAATTTAGCCCCAGTTCTAAGTTACCAGGTGAGATGGAAATAGCCTGACCAAAATCCTCCGGGGACAGGGGAGGGTCACTTGGACTGCTGACCTTCTGAGCGATGTGCCCCCTCACAGAGAGTGTTTCCAGGAGCGTGTACCCTCATAGAGTGCTCCCAAGAAGGTGTCCCTCCTCACAGAGTGCTCTCAGGAGAGTGCTCCCTCACCGAGTGCTCCCAGGAGGGTGCTCCCCCACAGAATGCTCCCAGGAGGCTGCTACCTCACAGAGTGCTCCCAGGAGAGTGCTTTCATCAGAGTGCTCTCAGGAGTGTGCTCCCTCTAAAAGAGTGCTCCCAGGAAGGTGCACCCTCACAGAATGCTCCCAGGAGTGTGCTCCCTCACAGAGTATTCCCAGGAAGGTGCTCCCATTTCACTGAGTGCTCGCAGGAGGATGCTCCATCAGAGTGCTCCCAGGAGCGTGCTCTAGTCACAGAGTGCTCTCAGGAACGTGCCCCCTCACAGAGTGCTCCTGGGAAGAAGTCCACCCTGGATTCTGCACCATCAGAGATCACTCCCTTTAAAGATGATGCTTGGGGAGGGATGGCTGCCTCAGTGCCAGGGCTGGCCCTACAGTGGAAGGCAGCCCCAGAGGGACCCTGCCTGGATGGGGTCCCCTCCCCCTTTCTCTGCATTTCAAAGCAGGCTGTGTGCTTTGACTTAAAGGCAGACATTTCACCATTTCACTCCTTCACATGGCATCCCTAGGCTCGCAGGTAGCTCTGGCCAGGGGATGGCCCTGGAGTGCTGCCCACCCTCCAGCTGCCATCCTCCCTCCAGTCCCACTGCTGCCCTACCTCCAGCCACACTGCCATCCTCCCTCCAGCCACACTGCCATCCGCCCTCCAGCTGCACTGCCGTCTGCCCTCCAGCCTCACTGCCACCCTCCCTCCAGCCACATTGTTGCTCTCCCTCCAGCCACATTGCGGCTCTTCCTCCAGGTGCACTGTCGTCCTCCCTCCAGCTGCACTGCTGTCCACCCTGCAGCTGCACTGCTGTCCTCCCTCCAGCTCTACTGCTGTCCACCCTCCAGCTGCCGCCCTCCCTCCAGCTGTGCCTTACAGGTGCGTTCCCAGATCCCTGGAGCCACAGGACTGGGCCTTGGCCTTGCCTCCTCCTCACTGCTGGGCTGCCCTGCAGGGGACTTGGGGCAGAGCAGGCCTGTGTGGATGACTAACACAATCAGCTCACTCAGGGCAGAATATGCAGCGCTGGAGTCTTCCTGAAGATTTGCTGCACAGGTTGGAATAACCAAGACAAGGGGATGTGAAGCACAGTCACGTGCCATCCAGCCGCGCTGTGGGAAAGGGCAGGCTGCATAGGCAGGGGCAACCCTAGAAGATTAGAACGCGGGATTTTTTTTTTTTTGAGATGGAGTCTTGCTCTGTCTCCCAGGCTGGAAGTACAGTGGCGTGATCGCAGCTCACTGCAACCTCTGCCTCCTGGGTTAAAGTGATTCTCTTGCCTCAGCCTCCAGAGTAGCTGGGATTACAGGCGAATGCCACCATGCCTGGCTATTTTTTTTTATTTTTAGTAGAGATGGGGTTTCACCATGTTGGTCAGGCTAGTCTCAAACTCCTGACCTCAGGTGATCTGCCCACCTCAGCCTCCTGAAGTGCTGGGATTCCAGGCGTGAGCCATCATGTCTGGCCAGAATGCTGCATTCTTACTGTACCTTTTCATGCACAAACACCTACCACCATGTTACAGCTGCCGACAGGATTCAGGAGTCACATGAGGTGCAGGTGTGCAGCCCAGGAGCAACAGGCCGGCCCGTCTAGGCATGTGCCACACGCTGATATTCACACAGTGGCAAAATTGCGCAACACATTTCCCAATGTCTCCCCATCGCTAAGTGGCAGCTCATTGTAAAAGCTAAAGCCCAAGTCGGGACTTGGACACAGAGGCCTGCGGGGTGGCAGGGCTGACTCCACAGGAAGCAAACCCTTGCATAGAAGCCCCACATGGCAGATGGTAACCCGGTGGGGCGTGGAGTGGGACCTGCCCCTCCTGCCACCCTGGAAGGGTCTTATGGGACACAGGGCACTCCTTACTTGGTGCAGAGTGGGCCCACGAGGCCTCCTTCTTAGGTTGCAGCCCTGGGGCCCCTCAGTGAGGAGTTAATTGGCAGGGCCGGGGTGGAGGTGATGCTCAGGTCAAGGCCAGGTGTGCACCTGGAGCTTTCCTGAACATCACTCAAGGCAGGTGGGCCTGGTGCTCACTGCACAGGAGGGTGGGGGCTGCCACCTCTGCACCTGGCTCCTGCCCTCTGAGCTCCTGTTCATTCGGGCACAGCCAAGGCAAGGTCAATTCCACAAGTCCCTACAGGGCCAGAACTCTCTGGCATGAAGGCGGGAACTAAGAGCATCTTCTATGCACAAAACCCTGTGGATGTGAGGGAAGGCGGCCAGGGGGTCACTGGGGGTGGGACGACAGGGGGCCATGTGACATTCCCAAGAACGAAGTGACACAATGGGGCATCCGGCAGAGCCAAGAACTGGGGTTTCCATGGGGAGAGGTGGCGCTGGGGGAGGGGGCTGGGGTTTCCATGGGGGGCTGGGCAGAGCTGGGGTGGCAGCAGGGCTGGGAAGCTGGGACCTGCTGTGCTTCACTTCCTGGGTGATGGCACCCTACAGCGTGGGGCCGCCGAGGTGCCCAGCATCCCAAGGCGCCTGCAGGAGGGACGCACGCCTGTAGGGGGTCAGCCTGGGTGAGCCCGGCCCCCCAATGCCACACAGAACACACGACCACAGTTTCATCCAAATCAAGGCTGTATTTATCATCACTGATTGATATGGGAACAGAATATTCCAAACAAACGGGGTCCACTGTGGAAACGTGGCTGAAACACAGAACTGAGCAAAGCATGTGGCTCAATGGCTGACCCTGAAGGCTGGGAAGCCTGGCAGGGACACAGCCCAGATGTAGGGGAACACAAAAGGCCTCAAGGAGGGCAGGGCATGGGGGGCTCATGTGGGTGAGAGCAAAACCCAAACCGAGAGGAGGCCAGGCCAAGGGCCCGGGAGGCAATGACCACACCAAGGTGACGCTGATGCCTCAGGCGAAAGAAAACACACAACAGTGATTTTTTTTTTTTTTTTGTACTCAGCCTTTAGACTCTTGCACTTCTAAACCTCCACCGATCTGGTCTACAGATTCCAAGAACACTGCACCATCCACACAAACGTCCACAGAATCGCCTTTGCGGCTGGAGCTGGCCAGTCCTGAAGCCCACAGGAGCCGCCCAGGAGTGCTGTTCTGCTGGCCCAGGGGCCCTGATGGGGGTACCCAACCCCTCCACGGACCCAGGGGCGGGGACGTCGCTGGCGAAACCTTCCTCCCCCCACCAGCAGCGGGAGCGCTTGCATAGTTGAAGGAAAGTTGCTGCCATTAAACTTCTCAGAATGTTTACAACCGGCAGCGCCTGGGTTTTTGTGACCATGTTAGACAAACAACCAGAGGAGTTTCTGGAAACCGATTTATAAAGTCTATCTAGATTAAGAATTTAATAATGTCATATATTTATATTAACAGACTATTTACACGTTTCGTTTGCTTTTTAAAAAACAAACCAAAAAAGAAATTCTCTTACACTTCTGCATAATAAGGCAAAAAACAAAGTTTTGTACATTATTATTATTTTAATATAGATCTGTAACTTCGGTTCCAAGTACCAAGGGGGGGCCAGGGCTGGCCTGAGTGGGGGCCTCACAGTGCGCTGGACAAAGTGACCGGTTTTTCTCCATAAATAAGACAAAGAAACCCTGGGGATCTGGAGAAGGATCTGAGGCCATTAAACTGCAAATCCCAACCGAAAACGAAGAAGCAAAAGTTTCTTTTTTGGTTCTTTTAAACGTCTAAATAGCATAAAATTAAGAAAAATACAAATCCATTACAAACACTTCTCATTTGTGGGGGGGAAAGGTACAAACGCGATTTTTTTTTCCCAACAGCCGAATCCCAAACTCGGAAAACAAAAGATCACCCTCAGAAAAGCCGACACCCAAGTCCCCGCCTCCGCAGGCTGCGGGTGGAGGCGGCGGCGCCCCAGGATCGGCGGGAGCTGTGCTTGAGTTCTAGGAACTGATGGAGAAACGGACAGCGGTGCGCTCGGAGAGGCGTCTGCGGCCCCGGGGCTACCGCGCCTCCACCTCCGGGGGGTTTCGGGACGGGGAGTAGTCGCGCGCCTCGCCCGGCCCGAGGCCCCCCAGCGGCGTAGTCCGGCTCCGCGGCGGCCCGGGGGGCGTGGGAGGTCCGGCCGCGGTCACCAGTGGGGGCGGTGCGCCGAGGGCGGCGGCGGCGGCGGCGGCGGGCGGGGTCCGCGCCAGGAGCCCGTTGTGCAGCGCGCTGGGCGCGAGGCGAGGGAAGTGCAGGGCGCCCAGCGAGGGCAGCAGCGCGCCGTCCAGGGCGGGGGCGGCGGGCGGCAGGTGCGGGGCCCGCGCGCGCTCCAGCTCCCCCTGCAGGCGCTCGGGGCTGTAGCCGTGGGGCTCACGGTCGCGGTAGGGGCGCTCCGGGGGCTCCAGGAGGGCGGCGGGGCCCGGGGCGGGGGCGGCAGCGGGGAAGGCGCGGCGGGGCAGCTCCAGGCCGCGGAAAGGCTCCCACGCGAAGCCCGGCGCGCCCAGGCGCTCGCGGCCCAGGCCCAGCTGCAGGGGCGCGGGGTGCAGGGCGCCCCCCGGGGGTTCGGAAGCCTCGTCCTCCCCGCGCTCCTCCTTGACCTTCACGTTTCCCGGAGCCGCCTTGCTGTGGGGCGGGGACGCGCGCGCGGGCATCTTGGCGGCCTCCTCCTTGGCTGGGGAGCGGCTCTCCTTGACCCGAGGTTCGGACTCGCGCTCCGCAGAGACCCCGGGCCGGCCCAGCTCGCTCTGGCCCCGGAGCAGGAGTCCGCTGACGGGGTGGCCGGCGGGGGTGGCGGGCGAGGTCCGGCTCAGCAGGCGCTTCTCCAGGAGGTCCCTGGAGGCGGCAGGGCGGACCCGTCACTCCCGAGACCTCCGTCCCGCCGAGCGGCGCAGCCCAGGCTGCTCCCATTGCCTGGCGGGGCCTCCAGCTCCTGGGTGGCCGGTGACCCCTCAGCACCCACGGCTCCCGCACCCCCACAGGCTCCCAAAACCTACGCGTCCTCTCTGCGCTGGGCGGCCTGGAAACCTCGGCCGACAGACGAAGCAGATAAGGCGCCAGCAGCGACTTCAGCTCCCCACGGGCCCCTCCCTGTTAGGACGGGGGCCTGCCGGCAGCCGCACCCCCGAACTCCTCCCTCAAACTCTGTGGGTCAGGCCGACCTGGAGGTCTCCCTGCTGGCAGGTGTGGGTGCCTGTGGTGGGGGTGGGTCTTCACCCTCCTCACCCTTCCCAGCCCCAGGGCACGGCCTTCACTCCCCATTGCAGAGAGGAGTCGCCGGGGAGCAGAACTTTGGTCCCCATAACCCGGGGCTCAGCACAGAGCTGGACAGAGCATGAGTGGGCAGCAGTGCGGCGAGGAGGGGGAGAGAGAACGGGGGCCGGGGGGGGTTACGGTGGGGGGATAGGGAACAAGAGGGCCACTCACCGTTCCTGCTCCTCCTTGCCATTGTCCGGCTCTCGGTCATGGTTGGTCAGGGCTGACACCCGCTCCACCTCCACGGACTTGGGCCACGGGGGTGGAGCGGGGAAGGAGGGCGGTGCCCGGTGCAGTCGGTTCCAGGCCTCGTGGGGGCTGGGCAGGCCGTGCACAGAGGAGCCCTCCTTCGGGGCAAAGATGTTGCCGCCAGGAGCTGGGGGCAGAGGCCACGGAGCGTGAGGTTGGGTCTGTCCCTCCCCAGCCACGCCCCAGGAGAACCCGGGAGGGGTTTTAGGAGGGTCCCAGGCAGATATTGAGAAGGGGGTGCCCCCAGGGGGCCCAGCCCAGAGAGGAGGGAGGTCAGCCAGGCATCAGGGTTCCTGCAGAGGACACAGGCATGGGGGAGGGGTGCGGGCATCGGGGGAGGGGCGCGGGCATCGGGGGAGGGGGCACAGGCTGGGTCACTCACCCAGTGCGTGGCTGCCCAGGCCCCCAAAGGCGTGGCTGCTCAGGCTCCCCAGGCCCCCAAAGGTGCTCGGTCTGCTGAAAGGGTCTGTGGGGGCAACCGCAAGCCCCAGAGGTCTGTGAGGTGTGGGCTACGGCTCCCGCCTGGCCCAGTGGGGCTGCTGCAGAGGCTTCCGGCCTGGTGGGTGCTGCCTGCATGACATCCAAGGGGCTCCCAGGGGCTTGGGGCCACCTTCTCACCCACCTACTTCCCCCACCCCAAGGCTGCTGAGGAACCAGCCAGGCTGCGTGGGCTAAATTCAGAGGCACCCACCTGTCAGGGGGCCAGCGGGCAGGAAGCTGCCAGGATGGGCTGAGGCTCCAAATGGGTTGGAGGCAGGATGGGCGGCACCTGGGGGGGGCAGCCAGGTTTGACAGAGGCCAGGAGAGAGCACCAGGGCCTCCCATCTGCAGCTCTGTTCACAGGGGGCACCCCAGTTTCCTCTGTGAACCTTCACCTCCCATTCTCTCGCATGCCCTGAGGGGTGAAGTGTGTCCAGTCAGAGTAAGAGGTGGAATTTACCCCATAATTCGGAGGAAGTTTGACTTGGGGCTGCAGTGCAGCCATCCTGGGAACCCAAGTGGGGCAGCGAGGGAGGTGCTGAGTGCAGTACAGCCCTCAGAGCAAAGGGGCCGCAACTTGGGCAGAGACAAAGTCCAAGTAACATGTGCCTTGATTGGACCACTCCTGAAGCCCTTATCCCAGAGCTTTCACCTAGGAGCTGATAAATGGTCCTCACTTCTTAATGTGGTGCTGGGCCTCTTGGAGGCTGCACGTCGCAGCCCTCGTGGCATTCCTGGGCACAGGCCCAGCCCACAGCGCCATGTCAACATCAGCCCTGGCCCCCCAACAACCTGGGAGAGCAACCTTGTGAGGCCCTGGCCCTGCAAGCGGCTGCTGCAGGGGACTCAGTGCTGTTGGGCCAGGGGCCATCCTGCACATGGGTCCAGGGGGCAGGTTTCTAGTAAAGACCAGCAGGGCATCATCTTTAGGTTACTCCAGCTCCCTCCCAGCCCTAATCCTGGGGACCCCAAAGACGGGGTGCTCACACCTCCCATGTAGGACGCGGCGGGCTGTGTTCAGAGCTTCTGATCTCCACTGAGCTCTGGCATGAAAGCTGATGCCACTCCTCTAAACTAGAGAGGAAGACAGCCTGCCCCATGCCATGGAAACACAGCTTGTCAAAGTGTGTGCAGCAAGAGGTGGAAGGAAGCACACTGCCTCAAATGCCTGCACTGTGAGACGCTGAGGAATCAATATTCTCAACCTCCAGATTAAGCAAGAAGGGGCCAGAAAAGTGAGCAACACGCAAGAAAACACAGAGAAGGCAACAAGGTCAAAGCTGCTCCTTTAAAAATATGGGTGAAATTGGTCAGGCGCAGGGGCTCATGCCTGTAATCCCAGCACTTTGGGAGGCCGAGACAGGAGGATCACTTGAGGTCAGGAGTTTGAGACTAGCTTGGCCAACATGGTGAAACCCTGTCTCTACTAAAAATACAAAAATGAGCCAGGTGTAGCGTCGCTTGCCTGTAATCCCAGCTACTTGGGAGGCTGAGGCAGGAGAATCACTTGAACCAGGGAGGTAGAGGTTGCAGTGAGCCAAGATCACACCACTGCACTCCACCCTGGCGACAGAGCAAGACTTCGTCTCAAAATAAATAAATAAATAAATAAATAAAAATAAAATAACATACTGGTGAAATGGACGAACTTCTGGTGAGATTAATGAAGGAAAAAAGACAAGATGGCACAGCCAAGCAATATTAAGAATTACCAGGGCCTGCGGAGTTCAGGCGTGACGGATGGACGGCTACGGAGCCTGCCCCAAATCAACTTACTAGAAACACTCGAGTTACTGAAACCAATTCAAGAAGAAACAGCTTGAGGAATAACACACCCAATGGGGAAAAAGAATCAGTACCTGGAACCTGAAGTGTGAGCCTGCCAAGCCTTGAAGGAAGTGATGGCTGGACCTCATAAGAGCTCTTCCAGACAACAGAAAAAAGGAAAGCTCCTTAACTCGCTGAAGAAGGCAAACAGGCCTCATGACAAGACCTGACAGATGCAGTACAGGAAGGGAAACTACAGGCCAGGCTTACTCAGGGAAACTCATCTGAAACAAAGCACTGAAAAAGTGGCTCCAGAAATGTATCAACCACATTTCTGTAAATGTAAAACCATCCACTCGTAGAGATGACTTTCTACACAGAAAAGGTAAAGGAATTGACAGACAAATGTCTTTGCATTCGTAAGAATTTAGCAAGATTGCTAGTTATAAAATCAAGAGATGACACACGAATCTTCAAAACAGATATGCACTTGTTTTCTAGCAACAGCTAAAGAAATGTAACTTACAAATTCCAATCATAATATTAGTAAAATATAAAGCATCTATGAATAATTCTACTAAGACCTAAATGAATGAGATACTCCATGATCAGGGATAGGAAAATGATACCAGAGACGACGTATGAATTCCTCTTAGGTTGATGTACACCTTTAACCCAATTCCAGTGAAAGCCGGAACCTAACAGGCAAATTGAAAGTTTATATGGAAGAGAAAAAAGAGCAACAAGGAATCATCCTGCCCCTGCCAGCCAGATATCAAGACCTACCAAGGAGATGGAGGAGGCAACACCGGCCCCAAGGACGGACGGGGCCCAGTCTTGCAGGACAAATGGCAGAGCATTGAGGGACAGCCACCAGGTGTCCAGAGGAGGGAAGGGGAGGCAGGGAAGGAGCAGGTTCGGTGGGGCGGGCAGTGTGGAGGGCCCAGAACTGGGCTCCACACTGAGCAGGTGTCCTGGGGGCTTGAGCCAGGCTGCGGACAGTCAGAAACTGCAGCCTGGACTTCTGCTTTCTGAGAAACCCAGACTACCGGGAAGCTCCATGGCCCAGAGGCCACCATGCTTGTGAAGCCAGCCTCAGGTGGCCGCTGTGCACACTCATCACCCTTGTGTGGACAGGGCTCTGCCCTCGCATGTCCACATGCAATGTGGCATCAAATGGTCATGAACGAGGAAGAGACTGAGTACGGTGAGGAGAGAGTGAGGGGGGCTGCAGCCGGGGTTGGGAGCTCTGAGGAAGGGACAGGCCTCAAGGACCTGGTGGCTGGGTTCTTGGTTCCAACAGCAGGACAAGTGGGCAACGCAGAGCCCATGTGTGTGCCTGTGCATGTACGTGTGCCTGTGCGTGTACGTGTGCCTGTGCGTGTACGTGTGCCTGTGCGCGTGTGCCTGTGCGCGTACATGTCTGCCTGTGCCTGCCTGTGCGTGTATGTGTGTACATGTACGTGTGTGCCTGTGCATGTGCCTGTGTGCCTGCGCCTGTGTATGTACGTGTGTGCCTGTGCGTGTACATGTGCCTGTACGTGTACGTATGCCTGTGCGCATACGTATGCCTGTGCATGTATGTGTGCCTGTGCGTGTACCTATGTGCATGTGTGCCTGTATGTGTGCCTGTGCGTGTACTATGCCTGTGCGTGTACGTGTGCATGGATGTGTGTGCCTGTGCGTGTACGTATGTGCCTGTGCGTGTGCATGTAGCTGACCCTTGAACAATACGGGTTTGAACCGTGCAGGTCCACTTAGACACGGATTTTCTTTTTTTTTTTTTTTTTTGAGACGAAGTCTTGCTCTGTGCCCCGGGCTGGAGTGCAGTGGCGCGATCTCGGCTCACTGCAAGCTCCGCCTCCCGGGTTCCCGCCATTCTCCTGCCTCAGCCTCCCGAGTAGCTGGGACTACAGGCGCCTGCCACCACGCCCGGCTAATTTTTCTTGTATTTTTAGTAGAGACGGGGTTTCACTGTGTTAGCCAGGATGGTCTCGATCTCCTGACCTCGTGATCCGCCCGTCTCGGCCTCCCAAAGTGCTGGGATTACAGGCTTGAGCCACCGTGCCCGGCCCACGGATTTTCTTTCACCCCTGCCACCTGAGACAGCAAGACCAGTCCCTCCTCCTCCTCAGCCCCACTCAGCATGAGGACAAAGATGAAGACCTTTAGGATGATCCACTTCCACGCAGTGAATAGCAAATATCTTTACTCTTCCCTTTTTTTTTTTTTTTTTTTTTTTTTTTTTGGTGACAGGGTCTTGCTCTGTTGCCCAGGCTGGAGAGCAGTGGCGCAATCATGGCTCACTGCAACCTTGACCTCCTGGGCTCAAGTAACCCTCCTGCCCCAGCCTCCTGAGTAGCTGGGACCACAGGCACCCACCACGCCTGGCCATGATCTGTCTCATAAAGTTTTCTTTTCTCTAGTGGGTGTTACTGTAAGAATACAGTCCATCATACATGTAACACACAAAACAGGCGTTCAGCAAGTGTTCATGCCATCGTAAGGCTTCCTGTCAACTGTAGGCTGAGTTAAGTTTTGGGGGAGTCAAAAGTTATACCTGGATTTTCAACTGTGTGGCGGGGAGTGACCCAGCCTCTCTGTGGTTCAAGGGTCAGCTGTATGTGGATGTGCATGCTTCACGTGTGTGCACATGCATGGATGTGTATGTGGAACTGTGTGTAACTGTGTATGTGTAGAAAGGCGTGTACTGCACAGGCTGAGACACCATCTTTGGAAAGGTCTGTACACACGGCTGGCCTTCAGCTGGCCTCTGGGAGCCCAGACTGTGTCCATCCCACATTACGGTTGAGCTTCAAGCCCACTTTCCTCCCGGGGGCCTGGAATGTGGACTTGTGCCAGGCAGTGGTGCCCATGGACCAGCACCCCAGAGCCTGGGTGCCTCTGCGTGCCTGGAGGACACTCGCGTGTGGTCATGTTGCATTGCCGGGGGAGGGGGTGACTCGGGAGCAGGTGACTTGGGGAGGGGGTGACCCGAGGAAGGGCATGGCCTGGGGGAGCGGGTGACTCGGGGGAGGGCGTGACCCTGGGGAGTGGGTGACCCGGGGGAGCGAGTGACTTGGAGGAGGGCGTGGCCCAGGGGAGTGGGTGACCCGGGGGAGCGAGTGACTTGGAGGAGGGTGTGGCCCAGGGGAGTGGTGACCAGGGAGAGCGGGGTGACTTGGAGAGGTGTAGCCCAGGGGAGTGGGTGACCCGGGGAGGCAGAAGTGACTTGGAGGAGGAGGGGTGTGGCCCGGGGAGCGGAGCGGCCGGGGAGTGCAGGTGCCTTGGGGGTGTAGCCCAGGGGAGTGGGTGACCCGGGGAGCAAGTGACTTGGAGGAGGTGTGGCCAGGGAGTACATGCAGCCAGGGGAGGCAGCTGCAGACTCAGGGAGGGTGGTAGCTTGGGGGAGGCGGGTGACTCCGAGAGAGGGCAGGGGAGGTCTCATGCTCCCGGCGGGCCTGGGCCGGGAACATTGCAGGCCAGGTCCCTGGGACCTCCCTAGGAAATCACCACAGCTGGAGGCAGTCCTGCAGACCCCTGGAGCAGCCGTGCCACATCAGGAAGGGACGTGGCAGGCGCTGGGAAGCAGAGGCAGATGAGTAGCCTGGCGGGGGCCTGGGTCCCTGCCACTCCTTTGCCTCTGGTGGGGGGCCCAGGAGCAGGGGAGCTCCAGAGAGAGGGAGGAGTGGCAGGGGACCAGCCTCAGGCAGAAGGCTGTGCGTGGCTGAAGGAGGCCACCCCCAGGTTACTGGGCAACTTGAGTCGGAGGTAAAGGTGAGGGTTGCCAGGCTTGAGGCTTCAGGTAAGTGGTGAGCATCAAAAGCAAGAAAACTGGTGCGCTACGAGGTCGAAAGCGTTCTGCTCCTGGCACAGGAAGGCAGGCTCGGCCCTTGGAGGAGGGTGTGGCCCAGGGGAGTGGGTGACCCGGGGGAGTGACTGACTCAGGGGAGGGGGTGACTTGGGGGAGCGGGTGACTCCGAAGGGCAGGGAGGTCCTCGCCGCTCCCGGCAGACCCCAACCTGGGCTCTGCCACTGAGAACAGTACAGGCCAAGTCCTGGGACCCTCCCTAGGAAATCACCACAGCTGGGCCGGTCCTGGGACCCCTGGAGCAGCCGTGCACATCAGGAAGGGGACAGCGGGCGCTGGGAAACAGAAGCAGGTAGCCTGGCGGGGGCCTGGGTCCCTGCCACTCCTTTGCCTCTGGTGGGGCCAGAACAGGGAGCTCCAGAGAGGAGGAGTGGCCAGGACCAGCCGCCTCAGAGCTGCGTGCGTGGGCTGAAGGCCCCCCAGGACACACTGGGCAGGACTTGGTCGGGAGGAGAGGTAAGGTGAGGGAGTTGCCAGGCTTTGACTTGAGTAAGTGGTGAGCATCAAAAAGCAAAAACTGGTGCTGAGGTCCAGAGAACGTTCTCACTCCTGGCACAGGAAGGCAGGCTCAGCCGGGCAGGAGCAGGAGGTTGCCGTGTCCCCTACCCGGCCCCCGATTCCATCTCTCACCTGTGCTGGGGAAGAGGGGCCGGGCCAGGTCCTGTGGGTAGTGGAAGCCAGCAAACACGCCCGGGGCGGGGGGTCTGCCGAACAGGTCCAGCTTGGCACCCACCTCCAGCTTGTGGGGGTCCAGCTGCATCTCCTGGGAGGATAGAGTGCGTGAGGGCTGCCTGCCCGGCGACCAGCCCCGACCACAGGAAGCCCAGGCCTGGGGGGTCGCAGGGACTGGGTGTGAGTCAGTCCAGAAAGGACAGCAGGTGGGATGAATTTCAAGGATGTATTCTCCAACTCAGAATGACGGAAATGTTACCGTGATCAGCAAAAAAGGTGAACGGGAGAGCTCACATCCTCTGAACTGTGGTATGTACTTAGCACATCTCAGCTAGCATGCTATGTGGTCATGGAAAACAACTTACTTTTTCTGTATTTAGATTCTTTTAAAAGTTAAGGCCAGGCGCGGTGGCTCACGCCTATAATCCCAGCACTTTGGGAGGCTGAGGTGGGCAGATCACGAGGTCAGGAGATTGAGACCATCCTGGCCAACGCAGTGAAATTCCATCTCTACTAAAAATACAAAAAATTAGCCGGGCATGGTGGCAGGCGCCTGTAGTCCCAGCTACCAGAAGGCTGAGGCAGGAGAATGGCGTGAACCCGGGAGGCGGAGCTTGCAGTGAGCCGAGATCACGCCACTGCACTCCAGCCTGGGCCACAGAGCGAGACTCCGTCTCAAAGAAAAAAATCCAAAAACACAGCATTCTCCTCTGAGTCCCGTCCTGCTGATACCTCTCCCAAAGGGCATTTAGGACACAACGATTTTTAAGAGTTGTGTGCGCAGGTCATGTGTGTCATCGAGAACAGCACAGGGACAGCAGAGGCACAGGGTCCCACGGGGTTGAGGCCACAGTCCCACTGTCCTGGCCTCCCAGGACTCTATCCTGCCCCCACGGCTCCTAGCCTAATGGGACCTGCCCACGGGGCCCTCCTTCCTCAGCCTTCCCAGGTGCACATCAGTTGTGAGCGCCCAGGGTCCACCTAGGTCACTGCTGAAGACTGAGGAATACAGCAGGCACTCCATCGCTGCAGGGAGTGGGGGCAGGGCAGAGGACCCTAGAGGCACCCCAGTGACGTGGGGAACTGGTGCGGCACCCCGTGCCCCTGCTCTGCTCCCCATGACCCAGCCGGCACACCTCGCCAAGGGGAGGGCCTTGCAGCACCCGGGCACCCAGCACTGCCTTGTGGCCTCGCTGACCTGCTTAGAGTAAGAGCCCAGCGCCCAGGCGAAGGGGGAGGTGGCTCATGCGTGAGGATCACACCCGTGCACATGCGTGTGAACACACTCGCCTCACGCTTGGCCTTCCAGGGCCCAAACAGGCTGGAGACAGGGGCCCACAAGCGCCCCACACCCGCCCAAGTGGTCTCACCTTCATCTTCTGCTGGTGGCGATAGATCTGCCAGGCGATCTGCACGTGCACGGCACACCACCTCCCCGGCTTCTGAGACAGGACGGAAGCACTCAGTGGGGCTGGCGCCACCCCCACCCATGTCTTCTGCAGACTCCTCCTGTCACGGGCCCCCCGAGGCCACCCCAGAGGCACCAGAGTCTTCCCCTGCCACAGGCCTTCCCAACGCACACTCACCTTGACCACCGCCCGGTACGGGTCAGACACCTGTGGAGACAGGAAAGGAGTGTGAGGTCCAGGCCCCTCAGGAGGCCGAGTCCTGGGGGTGCAGGGGACATGGCCCCTTTGCTGTGGCCACCAGCCCACCCAGGGCCGGGCCAGGGCAGGCCATCACCGGAGTGGGGACGGGTGCCCACTGACACCTACCCCAGGCGCTTTCTGCAGGAGTGTGTGAACCGCACCAGCCCGGCGGGCCACCTCAATGGGGTTTGAAGTCTGAGGGGAGAAAGAGAGAGAGAGCTTGTGTGCACGTGGGGCAGCCCAGGCAGGAGGACACCTCGGGGCTTCCTGGGTCTGGCATGGGCCTGTGCCCTGCTTTGCCTTGCTGTGGGGCCCCACACGTTGTCACCCAGGGGCAGCCTGCCCTCCCTCGCAGGACCACCACACCTTTAGCCCGCCAGTTTCTGCAAAGGTGGGAAGAAGGTGCTCTTGCCAGAGAAGGTGGGTGACCCTCCCCGGGGAGCCACCTGCTGCCAGGGCCGAGTCAGCCCCACCTGGACGGGAGTGGTGCCAACCTAGTCTCCAGCTCAGGAGGAGCTGCTGTGAGCCTGGATGGGCCAAGGGAAGACAGTCGTTTCCCACTAGGGATGCCAAGGAAAGGGAGGTCCCAAAGCAAAGACTGGCCATCACACCACACTCCTTTCCTGCCCAGTCTGGCTCAACTACCCCTTCCCTCTGGGCTACCGCCCTGCCCAGGAGCAGCTGTGCTCAGGGTGAGGCCAGGATACATTCCTTCCTTCCCAGACTCAGGGCCTCAGTGTCCTGGCTGTCTGGGCTCAGGGCAATGCCCCCAAGAGTCCCAGTCTGGGGGTCCCTGCTCGACATCTGCGGGTGAACCACACGCATCCCCTCTTCTCCATTCCTCTGAATTCCTCAACCACGGGGTCTGCGGGCCCAAGACCCTCTGGTGCCCAGGGGTGCCTGGTCCTCGGAAGCGCTATCTGCCTGTCCACCAGGTGGGTGGTGCCCCAGGTGAGCCCAGGTGTGCGTGCTGGTGCCTTCAGGGCAGCTGTGGGCAGAGCTGGGGGCTGCAGGATCCTGAGGTCCAGGGCTTGGCAGCTACCGGGGATGGCCCAGGCCCCGTCTTCAGAACCCAAGGTCCACAGGTGAGGAGGCTTCAGGACTGAGGTGTGTGCCACTCCGTGGAGGGTAGGGTTACAGCACAAGGCCGGGGACAGTGGGGAGGGTCACAGGGTTCCCTCCCCCCGGCTGAGGTGGCACACAACCTCCTCTGCCCAGGTCCCCTGTGGTGCGGGCAGCCCCTTAAGGCCTGGGTCCCCTGTGGTGCGGGCGGCCCCGTAAGGCCTGGGTCCCCTGCGGTGTGGACGGCCCTGTGAGAACCAAGTTCCTTGTGGTGTGGACAGCCTGTGAGGCTGCCGTCCACGCTGGGGCCTCCTGCCAAGGACTGGAATGTTCTCCATCGAGGCTTCCACAGTGTGCCCTCTGCACAGTCCCACCACCTCCCAAGGCTGCCCCCAGGTCAGACCCCCTGCCCCTCCCACGGTGGCCACACACAGACCGCAGGGCCACCCACTCTAGCCCGGGCTGCTGATGCCAGCACCCAGATGACGACAGGTACAAGGGAGGGAAGTGGGGGTGGTTGTGGGCAGAGTTTGGCGAGGTTGTCATGCACTCCCTCCAAAACCCCCACCCCACTCTGCCTGCCCCACCAGCCGGGGCAGCGGTACCTTGGGCTGAAAAGCACCCTGCAGGGACCCGAAGGGGCCGGGGTGTGGGAGCAGGCTGGGCAGTCCCGGGATGGCAGGAGGGAAGGACGGGAAGAACTGTAAGAGAAGGAGAGCGGATGGAGTGGGAGGCCCAAGTCCCCACCTCACCCTCTGCCTGTAACCAGGAGGTGGGACCAACGCAGCAGGGGCAAGGCCAGGCGAGGTACGGCCCCATCCACCCACAGCCCCACCTGCCCGCCCGTAGCCAGGGCCTGCGTGCACAGCGACACGCACCGGGCCCCTTGGGGACACTCACACTCACGCTGGAATGTCGGAAGTAGGGGCTGTCCAGCTTGGGCGTGTACTTGTCAAACTGGAAGGGAAGGAGAGGAAGGTGAGGCCCCGCACACACGACACCCTCGCTGGGCCCTGGCCCCCGCCCACCTGGCCGGGCTGGGCAGTGACAGGACGGCGCTGTGCTTCCCGAGGCTGGAGGCTGCAGCCAGCCGTCCCAGGTTCCTCTAGAGCGCCAGCCCCACGGCTCTAAACTCAAGTCTCAGGCCAGGGCGGCCCCTCCATTCTAAGGCTCCCCTTGCATGAGGTGGGAACTTGGGTCACTCGGGCAGTCTGTGTGCCCGGCTGAGGCCTAGGGCATGAAGTCCTGGCTGCTGGGCCGCGCTGGGGACACACCCGGTAACTGACAAACTGGCCAGTTTCCAAATAAAACTCGAGAGTGGAGGGGACTCGAGCCCCCAGCAGCTCCCTGCTCAGACCGGGCCTCCGGGTCGGGGCACATGGGAGGCACCCTGAGTCCTGGTCCCTGTGCCCCTCAGGCCTGTCTGGGCCTCCAGCCCTGGCACTGGGATCTAGTGCGGGTGTGAGGGTGTCCCATGCACGTGGGCACGGGGTGCCTGCCTAAGTCCAGGAACACGGCCCAGGGTGGGGACCTCATGGCACGGCTTGGGGTGGGGACACCAGAGGGCACGCTGGGGACCGGACAGACGGACGGATGACAGAGAGGTGCCGCCGGCCCCCCACCTCCTCCTGGGCTGGTGTGCGTGCGAGCGTGTGTCTGCGTGTGCCTGCTGCGTGTCCCCGCCCCACACCCGCCCCCGCCCCCTGCCAGCACGCGGGCCTACGCACCGGCGGGGGTGCGGCGGGCGGCGTCGGGGGCAGCCCTGCGGGGAAGGGGGCGAATGTGTGTTGGTGCTGGTGTGTGTGTTGGTGCGTGTGCTGGTGTGTGTGCTGGTGCTGATGGAACTCCGCCCGCAGCAGAGCCCCCGGGCCCAGGGAGGCGCCAGGCCGCTCGGCGCTCTGCACCAGAAACCGCGTGTTCAGCTCTTGCCTGAGCAGCTCGTGATCTACAAGAGAAAAAGAGAGAGAGACAGAGAGGCACGTTGGCCGCGGGCTCCCGGTGGGGCGAGGCAGATAGTCACCTGGCACTCCCGGGGTCGGCAGGCCAAGCCGGGGTGGCCGCTCGCCACGTGCGGGCCCAGGGGTGCAGGTAAGAGAGGAGCCTGTGACCAAGTACCAATCAGAATCCCCGAATGAGGCTGGCAATACATGATTGGCTGGCTGAATGAGACCGACAGGCTGGCATCTAGAGGCAAGAGAGAACACGGTGAGCCCCTCCCCAGGAGCCAGGGTCCAGCCACCCCCAGGCCAGCGTCCTGGTCCCATCCCGGGACACACGGTCATCCCCAGCCTGGGCCAGGCTGACTCGGAGCCTGAGGAAGCACCTGGGGGCCGAGGGAGGAAGCCTTCGCGGTTGGGGTTCCATTGGGATGGCGCCTGCTTGATGTGCGGTCCCCTCCTCCCAGGGCTCAGGACCCAGCAGGCTGCGGGGGAGGCCTGGCCCCAGCAGGGGAGGCCCGTGGGCCTGTCTCAACGTGAACACGTCTGTACGTGTGCACACATGTGTCCTGCCTGTCCCCGCACGCACACGGCCCGTGGCCCAGCAGGGACCCCTGGGGAAAGGCACACCTGGAAGGACCATTCAGAGGTGCCCAGGATCCGCGGAGCCCGCAGCAGGTGGAGGGCCCGGCTGTGCGCCCCACCCCCGTGGCTGTGTCCCCACAGCCCCTACCCCTGCCCTGGGTGAGATCGCGGCCGAGACACCTACCGGCCGGGTGTCCTGGGAGGACCAGGCTGCTGGCCGGCAGCGCCGGGGGCGGGGGCAGTGTTGGGGGCGCGGCAAACATGGCCGCGTGGAGCTGGTGCTGCGCCTGGGACCGGAGCGCCAGGTGTGAGGTAGACAGGTGGGGGCCCGGCCCGTGAGGCGACAGCGACACGTGCTTCCCCAGGCCCAGGGGGGCGCTGCTGCTCCTGCTGCGGGACACGGGGCTCAGTGCTGCCAGCCCGGCCCCTGCAGAGCCCCCCAACCTGAGCCGCACAGGCCCCGCCCCCGCGGGGACCCCACCTGAGGCCGTGCAGGCCGTTGGCTGCCGCCTGGCCGTGGCCCGCGAAGGCGCCCAGGGATGCAGGCACGTGTGTCGGGAGCAGGCCGCGGGGCTGCGGGGGTGGCGGCTGCGGGGTGTGGCGGGGCGGGGCAGGGGGCTCCTTCTTCACCAGGGGGCTGGCGCGGGAGCCGGGCGGGGGCCCCTGGCAGGGCGCGGCGTGGGGCGCGGGGCTGGCCGCGGGCAGGAAGCTCTCGGCGCTGAGCTCACGGCTGCGCTCCAGGCCCGACACCTTGGGCACCGCCCCGGCCTTGGCCTCCGACTTCTCAAGCGCTGGGCCTGCAGAGAGAGGGTGGCTGCGTTCAGACCAGCAGGGCCTCGTCCCTGCCCCTCCTGTGGCCCAGAGAGCCCTGGAAGATGCCCGGTGCCCAGGCCACGTCTGGTCTCCTGCTGTGCCCCCATTTCAGATGAGGCAGTCACGGAGGCCACACAGCCAACTGGATCTCACCGAGGCTCCAGGCCCCGCCCAGCGGAGGGAGCTGGCTTGGGAGCCTGGGCCTGGGTCGGGGGTCAGGGTGGGTAGCCCACCTGCCCGAAGGTGCATGCAGGGACAGGACAGGACCTGCAGGAGTCAGTCCCTGGGCAGGGGCTGCTATGACCTCATTTAACAGACAAAACCAAGATACATCAAGGACTTGGCCCAAGAGGGAGCTGGATCTGAATGCAGGAGCTAGGGCCTATGTGCCTATGCCTCATGTTCACCGCCCCTGGATGTGCCCCCAGCCCAGGGCATGGGTCCATCCCACCCCAGCAGCAGCGCCCACAGCTGGTGCCCACCTTTTCTTTCTGGAACCCCCTCGTGGACGGCTTGACCACTTCCCGGAAACTTGGGCAGGGACTGGGTGGGAGGCTGCCCGCCCCCGTGACTGCCCGTCACCCACCACCCTTCTGCCCACCTAGGCATGTCCCCCGCAGGTCCTGTGGGCCCATTTGAGCCTCTGGGGCCTGCCCCCCCACCCCCGCACACCCCAAACCCTCCTTTTGAGGCCCCTTCAGGCAGGTCTCAGATCAAGTTCCCAGGAGCCAGGAGAGGGCAGTGTCCATGCAGCGGAGCTCCTGTTGCCTGGGGCCAGGAGCTGCCACAGTCAGGGGGTCACGAGCTGTCACAGTCGGGGGGCCAGGAGCTGTCACAGTCGGGGGGCCAGGAGCTGTCACAGTCGGGGGGTCAGGAGCTGTCACAGTCGGGGGGTCAGGAGCTGTCACAGTCAGGGGGCCAGCTTCGCAGAAGCAAAACCAGGTTCCAAATGCGACATGCCTGCTGTTCACGTCCCTGGCAGACCCTGCTTCCTTCCTGAGGCCTTGGGATGGTGGAGCCATGGCCCATGGGGACAGCTGCAGCCACCCCTGCCCATGTGACCATGGAGCCTGGTCTGCTGGAGCCTCAGGGAGCTCCTCCCAGGCAAAAACAGGCAGCAGGAAGCAGCCCCATCTTCACTCTTCATCTGGGGTCAGGCCTTCCACAGCAGCCACCACCCAATGACCGCAGAGAGGCTGTGCAGAGGACACAGGAGAGAGGGAGCCCACGGCACTGTCTCCACCAGTTTTCCCAGCCCCCTGGGTCAGCCCCACCGGACCTCTCCTCCTCTCTCCCACATCCCCAAGCCAGCCCTGCGCACAGTAAGAGCTGTGATCAGGATGGAAAGAGGCTTAGGCTGCAGGCCTCCTGTGCCCTTCTAGCACCTCCAGCCCTCACCGGCACATTGTCCATCCAGATGCGGCAGCGAGCTGAGTATTCAACAGCCCCGCGTGACACTCTGTCTGCGAGGCCAGCTGCCTCTCCTGTTGGGGCCCGTCCCATGCACACCCCTTCCGACACCACTCCATCTGCACCTGCTTTGCTGAGATGCTCTGATGTGAACAGGCTTCCAACGTGAAGGCAGGTGAAGGCCATGACTGCTACAGGGCAGTAGGGCCCATCCCTGCTGGTGTTGGCAGGGCCTGTCCTGTCTAATCACATCCGGGTGAAGCTGTCCCAGCAAAAGGGCGGTTCCGGCTGGAAACCCAGAGAGGCGGGAGCCGAGACCCCATGGTCCTGCCAGAGATGCTGCCCGCCTAGGCCCTGGTGTGGGAATCCCAGGATCCCAGCACCAAGGAGGCCCTAAGAAGACGCTGGGGCTACCCCCTCTGGAGAGGGTTGCTGGACCGTAGACACCCCGCCCCACAGCTCATGGCCACAGGGTACGACGGCCTGGCCTGGAAACGCTATCCAGGCCCCTCTACTGCACCACAGGGCCTCGCAGGCTGCAAAGCCAGGGACGTGAGTCTGAGTCCTGTTTCTCTTTCACTCGGCAGCCACAGGTGCTTGTGGTGCCTGTGGTGGGGGGGCCTCCAGTGCCAGCTGGTCCCGAGTGTCTGACCCCACGAGCCTGGGGAGGGCCTGAGAGCAGGCGTTCCTAACGGTTCCACCTTGGGAGCCGCTGCTGCGAGCGGAGCCCAGGCTCTGCCTACGGCTCAGTGGCTTCCTCTACTCTCCCCTGGTCCTGGGGGCTTCCCAGCAATCCCAGCACCCTAGTTCGACCCAGTTCTGCACCCCAGGCCCCAAGGCCATCTCTCCCCAGACTTCAGGGGTATGTCCTGCCACCAAGACACAGGGCGCACCATGTCCCTTCAGAGGCCCAGGAGCTGAGCTGAGGGGGACCCACTTACCTTTATCGGTTCCTGGGGCAAAGAGCTTCTCGGAGCCCACGGATGCCTGGAGAGAGAGAAGGGGGTCAGCGGCAGTCAGGGAGGTCCTCATCCTCGTGGACCCTGCGCCCGATGCCCACACACAAGTCTGGGTGGGTTTCCAGCAGAGCCAGGCAGGATGTGCCCTTGTGGATGCCCCATGTATGAGGTGAACATGCTTAGTCCTGAGCTCCACACGTGTGCACGTGCTCACGGGGGCCCCTCTCTGCTCAGAGCAGCAGGCTTCCTAGAGGGGGTCTGAGTGAAGACGGGGTTTGAGGGGGGATCGGGAACCAAGGCTGCTGCTGGCGTGCCCTGGGGGAGCACTGGCATTTGGCAAATCTGCATCCCTCCCAGGAGAACCAGCACCAGGAGCTGTGTGAACCCCCACCTGTCAGGCCAGAGGTGGATGATGGAGAACCCTAGGACACACGTCCTGTTCCCAACCACGGCCCAGCACAGGCGCCTTGGCAAAAGTGAGAGAACCAGGATACCGACCAGGCTGGACATCTGGGTCCACAAGGCCGTAGGACACCTCGCTATGCTCCCGGGCTGGCTGAGCTCCAGGCCTGGTGCCCAGCGCCCACAGGACACTGCGCTATGTGCCTGGGGCCATTTGAGCTCCCAGCACCCACAGGACACTGCGCTATGTGCCTGGGGCCGGCCGAGCTCCCAGCACCCACAGAACGCCGTGCTATGTGCCGGGGGCTGGCCGAGCTCCCAGCACCCGTGGACACCGCACTATGCTCCCAGGCTGGCCGAGTTCCAGGCCTGGTGCCCAGCGTTGCTGAGAGGCGGCTGAGTGTCCTGGGCCACGTGGGGGAGCCTCTCAGAGGGTCAATCGCAGAAATTGCGCAGCGCCACTCCTCCATCTCTTCCAGAGAAACTCACCCAACCGCCCGCCACAAGCGGGTGGCGAGAGCGTGGGCCTGTCAGGGCGAGAGCATGAGCCTGTCGCCACTGATAGGGAGGGGTGGATGGAGGGTCCCACGCTCTGGGGGACTTCACAGCAGTTTTCAGGAATGAGCTTGGTTAAGGATGACCTTAAATAGATATTTCCCCCCTAGTTTCTTCTTTTTTGTTTTTGTTTTGATTAGACAGCTTCATTGAGTTGTGGACTGAACATTTCTGTACACCTGGAATTCACACGTTGAATTCACCCCCCAGGTGATGGGATCAGGAGGTGGAGGGTGATGAGGTCATGAGGTATTGAGTGTGGATGGAGCCTCACGAACGGGATCAGTGCCTTATAACGGGCGCCAGAGAGCAGCCGAGCCCCTCCCACCATGTGAGGCCGCAGCGAGAAGGCACCCTCTGTGAACCAGGAAGCCCTCACAGGGACTCTACCATGCCTTGACCTACTTGCGGCCTTCAGCACTGGGAGCTATGCATGTCTGCTGTGGACAAGGCACCTGCTGGGGCACTGGGCCAGAGCAGCCCGCATGGACTAAAGACTTGAGATGTAATTCACATACCATCCAACTCACCGTCTAACGCTTACAATTCACTGGCGTTTAGTATGTTCACAGTGATGCACCTGTCACCATAGTCAATTACAGAACATCGTCATCATCCCAAAAAGAAACCCTGACCCGTAACTGTCACCCCAACCCTGGGAAACCACAAATCTTTCTGTCCCTGCAGAGCTGTTCTTTCTGAACTTCCATGTGAATGCTGTCAGGCGACACGGACCTGCTGTGATTGGCTTCTCTCACTGCACGGCTTTTGATGTTCACACACTGCAGTGTGTACCCTGGAGAGATCGGGGACGCTGTGTGTGTGGAGGAAGCAACTGCAAAGAAGTGTTATGTGGCATCCGGACAATGTGCCTGTGCTTGGGCACGTACACACACTCGGGCATATACACACACTTGGGTACGGGTACATGGGCACATTCTCAGGTACGTGTACGTGGGCACTCTCAGGTATGTGTACGTGGGCACTTGGGTACGTGTACATGGGCACACTCACTCTCGGGTACGTGTACGTGGTCACGTTCTCGGGTACTGGTACGTGGGCACACTCCGTGGCACACTCCCTCGGCACGTATGTGGGCACATCGTGACATGTATCGCGGGCGCCTTGCATGTGGACGGCACACACTCCCAGGTGCGGCTGTGGGGTGCCTCGGGCATGCACGTGGGCACACACTCGGCATGTGTATGTGGGCACATTCCTCGGCACGTGGCACGTGGGCACTCTCTCGGTACGTGCATGTGGGCACATCTCCGGGCACGTGCATGTGGGCACACCTGGCTACACGTGGGGCACATCTCTCAGGCAGTCGTGGTGGGCACTGGCACGTGCGTGTGGCATGTAAGCACCTCGGTACGTGGCTGTGGGCACACTCGCACATGTACTGGGATGCCTTTGGCACGCAGTACGCAAGCACACACTTCGGTATGTGTATGTAAGGGCTCGGTACGGTAATGGGCACACACTGGGTATGTGTATGTGTGGGTGCCTGGCACGCAGATCGTGGGCACACACTCCCGGGCATGTATGTGGGCACACTGCAATGGGGGTGGGCACATTCCCGGCATGGTATCATGGGCACATTCTCAGGTACGCAATGTGGCACATTCTCGGGCACATGTAACGCGGCACATTCTCAGGCACGGCATGTGCTGACCTCGCACGCATGTACGCCCGGCACGTAATGTGTTAATATCTCCTCGGCACGCACGTGGGGCACACCCTCGGCACTGCACGCGCACACTGGCACGCACGCGGCACACCTCCGGGCACGCACGCAAGCACATTCAGGCATCGTACGGGCACTGGCACGCAGGCGGGCGCCCGGCAATGCGGGTAATGCGGCACATTCCTCGGTATCGGCACGTGGGCACACTCGGTACTGGTAATGCGGCACATTCCCCAGGCACGTGTATGTGGGCACCTCGGGTACGGTGGCTGTGGGCGCCCCGGCACGTAATGGCACATTCCCGGCATGGGGCGGGCACATTCTCGGGCACTCAGCACGTGGCACACTGGCACGCAGCAGGCGGCACATTCCTCAGTACGCAGGCAGAGCACTGGCATTGCACGTGGGCGCTCCGGTGACGGTAGCGGCACATTCGGTAAGGCATGGGCACACCTGCACATGTACGTGGGCGCCTTGGGTACGTGTACGTGGGCACACACTCTCGGGTATGTGTATGTGGGTGCTCTCGGGTACGTGTATGTGGGCACACACTCTCGGGTATGTGTACGTGGGCGCTCTCAGGTACGTGTATGTGGGCGCATGTGGGCGCACTCGGGTACGTGTGTACCTGGTGGCAGTGTGTGCATAGATGTTTGTGTCCATGAGCATCACGTGTGTACACAGGTGCGCGAGTGCCGACGTCCATGCTGGTGAAACTGTAGAACGGGTTTCGAGCTCGTGTCCACCAGGAGAGAGCAGTCCCCTCTTGGGATGGCTGGGGTGGGGGGCACAAGAGACTCGGCTTAAACTCTCGTATTTTAAGTTTTTAGGAAGGAGACTGCTTTCTGGTAATACTTGTGTAACTGAAACGTAACAGTGACAAAGGTAATAAAATAAACTGCTTCGCTACCAGGGAGGGGCCAGCCAGGCTTGCTGAGCAAGCACGGCTGTGAGAGACCAGGGCGTGGGGAGCATCTGACTCGGAAGCTGGGTGCTGGGAGACAGGGGCTCCATGCTTGTCTGTCCCCCGATCTGTAACATGATCTGTGACTCTTAGGGCTAAAACAATAAAAAGGGATTTAGGAAGCTGGCTGGTGAAAAGTGCACAAGACCCACAGCTCTCTAACTTGCTAAAATCTGGGAGGGCAGCCAGACGCGGTGGCTCACACCTGTAATCCCAGCACTTTGGAAGGCCGAGGTGGGCAGTTCACGAGGTCAGGAGATCGAGACCATCCCGGCTAACATGGTGAAACCCCATCTCTACTAAAAATACAAAAAACTAGCTGGGTACCAGCTACTTGGGAGGCTGAGGCAGGAGAATGGCGTGAACCTAGGAGGCGGAGCTTGCAGTGAGCCGAGATCGCGGCACCGCACTCCAGCTTAGGTGACAGAGCGAAACTCCATCTCAAAAGAAAAAAAAAAAAACCGGCCGGGCGCGGTGGCTCAAGCCTATAATCCCAGCACTTTGGGAGGCCAGACAGGCGGATCACGAGGTCAGGAGATCGAGACCATCCTGGCTAACATGGTGAAATCTCGTCTCTACCAAAAAATACAAAAAAAAACTAGCCGGGCGAGGTGGCGGGCGCCTGTAGTCCCAGCTACTCGGGAGGCTGAGGTGGGAGAATGGCGTGAACCCAGGAGGCGGAGCTTGCAGTGAGCTGAGATCTGGCCACTGCACTCTAGCCTGGGCGACAGAGCGAGACTCCGTCTCAAAAAAAAAAAAAAGAAAAAAAAAAAAAACCTCGGAGGGCAAGGGCAGGGGCCCTCCCAGAGCCAGGAAGCTCGCCAGGGCGTGAGCCAGCTCAGAGGGGCACTGGGTGTTGGGAAGAGGCCTGCTGTCCCCGTGCCACAGCGCACGTTTCCCATCACCCCCATCAAAATCCCAAGCAGGGATCTGGAACACATGCATTATTAGGTCCTTACTACGGGAGCTGCTTCCCCTGAATCCCGCACAGCCCAGCCAAGGGAGCTGTGCTGCTGTCCAGGGCGGAGAGGAGGTGGCTCAGGGTCCACTGGGGCCTGATGTGGGGCTTGGGTGAAGCCAGGCCCAGCTGCCCAGAGGGCAGGGACACCCGTGTCCAGCAACTGGCAGACGGTCAACGGTGAGCGTCTGGCGAGACAGCGCCTGCCTCAGCCACACATGCACATGGAGGAGCTGTTGACACACGCTCCGTGAGCCTCAGACACATCACAGGAGCTAAAGCCAGACCACAAAGAGCACGCAGCCGTGTGACCGTGAGTGCAGCCCCAGCCACAGCAGCCGGAGGGGTGCTGGGGGTGGACAGGAGCTCAGGGGTTCAGGGGAGACCGTGGTGGGTGTAAAGTTGTAGGTATACGTCAAAAAGCAAACCGCACACTGGAAATAGCTTCATTTACCGCAGAAA